AATTAGAAGCCTGCCCCTCCGGCCACAGCTATGAAGATAAGCTAAAAGATTTATTTCATAGAAAGATGGGTCTCTAATCTCTTGCTATGCCCTGGGGGTGGTAGATGGTTGAGAATACTTTCTCAGTTGGTCAGTCTTAAGGGACCCTGGAGCGGAAGTCGCACTGGCTACCAGATCCAGGAGATCTCGAGGTGTCCCCTCGGTGGCTACAAGATGGGGGTACCAAAGGAGGGTACAAGCTCCTTTCTGGGAAATGCCAGTAAGCTGGAGTGAGGTAAAGGGAAAGTGAAAGATGGCATCTGCCAGCCTCTGTCCCTAGAGACTAGCCCAGCAGGCTCCTAAGCTGTGTGTTCATTTAGATGCCTGCCTCTCAGGCCAGTGATTTAAGATAAGCAAATAAAATTCTTTCACAAAGAGGTATTATTCAGCTTTAAAGAGGAATGAAATTCTGATACCTGCTACAACATTGGTTCAACCTTGAAGACATCATGTTAAATGAAATTAGCCAGATAAAAGGACAAACACTGTAGGACTCCACTAGAGTAAGTAGTCAAGCTCATAGAGACAGAAAGTTAGAAGGGGGATTCCCAGGGACTGGTGGGGGGGGGCAGATTATATAATAAGTACAGAATTGCAATATGCGATGATGCAGAAGTTCTGGAAATGGATAGTGGTGATGGTTGCACAACTATGAATATATTTAACGCCACTGAATGGTACACTTAAAATGGCTAAAATGCTAATTTTGTTAGGTACATTTTATCACAGTTTGAAAAAAGTAGTAGTGGACCTCACATCATGTAAATCTGTTATTTTTGAAAAACTAACACATCATCAAGCTTTTTTAAAAGCGGTATCTCCTGTATTAGATGCAAATGCCTGTTTGGATTGGGGCCGGGGGTGTTTGTGGTCTGGGATGAACTAAAAACTTGGACCTGAACCAAGGTTATTCTCTCTTGGTGCTCCAGGAAAAGGTCTATGTTCATGTTGTAAAACACAGTAAATGCATTTTCATTTCAAACGGGAAACAAGTCTATGGTTCAAAGTCAATTAAGGACTATGGTGGCAGATCATTAAAAATGATACTAAATGTTTTTAAAATGTAGCCTATTTAAAAGGAATGTGTCTGACACTTCGAACAAAAATAACCAAGTTTCACTAGGAAGGCCCTACACCAAAAGCTGATTTAGCATCCCCTGATCCTGGCTCCATGGACCTGAAGCCCTTGGAAATGAATAGCATCGCCTCCAACATGGCAACAGAGCTTCAGAATTCAGCTCCTCTAAAGCCCCTCCCTTGAGGATAGTCTGGAGGGTTTATCTCTGAAAGACAAAGAGAGGTAATACTAAGTCTCTGTGGGGAAGGCTTCCCTTGGAAGCTGTGGTTGGGTTACAGGCTGTCTTCTGAGTGTGAGTGAAGACTAGTCACAAGAATCAAGCACACACACAAAATGGATCAAGTAGTTAAATAAGTAAAGCTATAGGTGGGAAGATGAATAAACAACCTTTTAAGCTCTGATAATCCCCCCATCAGACTGAATACCTGGGAATATATCCTCTCTATATCCTCTCTTATAGCAATGATGCACCCCCTCAAGGCCCCACCTCCTGGATTTATTCACAACCTCGTGTGGTATCTTCCCACAATATACACCAGTTGTCTGTGTGACCACTACAATATGGCATAAAGGGATTGTCACTTCAGATATTAGTCTTAAAAGACTATAGCTTTTCTCTTGAATACTCTATCACTTATTCAGGGGGAAGCCAGCTTCTTTGTCATGAAGACACTCGGGCAGCCTGTGCAAAGGCCCAACGTGGGGAGGAATTGGGGTACCTCGTTCCCAGTCACAAAATGCGGAAGAGGATCCTCCAGCCCCAGCTGACCTCTCGACAGCAACATCATGACAGACCCTGAATGATAACCACCCAGCTAAGCTGCTTCCTGACTTGCAGAAACTGTGAAGTAAGATTTGTTGTTTTTAAGTCACTGATTTGGGGGTAATTTGTTACTCGCCAATAGATAATATCACCAAGGACACCATGATTTCTGCTTGCTTAAGAGGAAAGCTGACACTACCTCTCCCGAATCTAGATGAGCCGGCCTGAAGTGGCATTTGGGCAACAGGCTTTGTCACATAGCCTTAGAGCAGTTTGGGTACATCTGTTTCTCCACACTGCTGTACCCTAACCCAAGCGGGGTGAGGAAAAGTGACTGCCTCCAAGGGACAGTCCTATGGTGGGTGATACAATGCTGGTCAGGAGAAAGAGGCTTGGGCCCAGCCTCCATCCCAGTACCTCCAACCTCCGAAAGTTTCATAGTTTTCCTAGGCCTTTGTTACTTTATCTAGAACACAGCTACAATACTCCTTTTATTGTTTGGTTAAAATGGGTAGAGTAGATTTAAAAAGGCTTTGCAAAAGTTTTAACCTGCTATACAACTTCTAAACTGTAACAACATGGTCATCACCACCACTTTGCACTCTGCTGGAATGGAAGGATGTGGATTTTTGATCACAGTTCTTCACGGCAAGCATGAGGTCCCTTGGGGAGAAAGTAAGACTCTACTGTATGGAGCAAACACAACTGCTGCGTCCAGGCTGGAGGAGGTGGCAGGGAGTCACAGTGGGCAGTGGTGTGCACATGGCAAACTAGAGGTCATGCCCTCCTGGAAAGAAATTTTAGAATGTTGTGGAAGGCCCAGCAAACCCATTCTGCCAACTGAATTTGATCCAAAGCCCAAGTTGTACCAAGCACCATAAGCAATAAAAGGCTAAGGGTATATATCTGTATCAAACTAAATATATGATATAGAGCTAAATTCAGAGGATTAAACCTCATCATTGCAGACGCTAGAAGGTTCTGTGAATAGGTCTCTCTCCCGCACCCATGCATCTATTCAAGCCAGACACATTTATGGAATACCCACTATAAAAAGCTACCTACAGAGCCACATACCAATTCTGTCATACCAAGTTCTGTACTTTAAATCCTTCTATTTTGTACTTCTCCAAGTTGGGGTTATTTGTAACAGTACTGTATGTGCAGGTAATGCAGATCCTCTATTTTAAGAAATGAGTTCTAGTCCCAAATCCACAAATAAAGAATTATTATAATAATAGCATATTCATGAAAAGCAAATTACTTATCTTGGCGTTTAACATCCTTGTAACTATTCCTGTACTTTTAATGTCAACAGAAAAAAAGCAATGTCTAAGTCTGGCTGATATGGTAAATTAATGTTAATAACAGTTTTGACACTAATAGCAAGTTTTAAAAAGAAAAACCTCCAGACTGGAAGCTGGGTTTCATTTCTTAAAAATCACCGCAGCTAGCTGTCACCAGACTCCTCTAGAACAATTCCAGCTACTATTTCACCTTCACTGGGAGCCTGAAACAACTAAAATCTATAAATCCTAGACATTCTCTTCCTTCCCTGCCTATACTCACTCCAAGTGGAGAAAATATCCACCCCCTTGAGTTACAAGACCAGAGACACATTTCTGAATCCCTATAAGGAAGTGAATACCCACATGGTTTCATTTAAAAAACAAACCAACCACTAGCTGTTTGTCCAGCCCCTGAACATAGGTTGTGAAAATGTGAACTATTAAAGTACACACTAAACTAATGGGAAATTCTACACTTTGTTATAGATGCCATGGAATCCCAGAGACCAAGTTCTGCACCTTCTCTTCACGTTCTTCCTAGCACTGTGCATATACAAGCACATGAATAAATGGCCCATGAATTAAGCTGATTTGAGCCGAAAACTTGAACAGGCCCACATGGAGAGTGAAAAGGAACCCAGCACTTGGCTCCTCCACTATCGCTAGCTCTTTCTAAAAGTCATTGAAAGCTCAAGCAGCCCCTTGCAAACCCTCTACCCCTCTCAGACTCAGCCAGTAGGACCTGATTGGCCTACAACACCCACCTCTATAATCATTTAGAGGCCACTAGACTTGAAGCAAAGCATCTCTTCCAACTTCTCAAACATTGTTCTTTTTCTATTACTAATTGAGTGTTTTACTTTTAGATAATCCTATAATGAACCAGCTCAAATGAGCAGAGGCAGCAGTGACAACCCATCAATAAAATAATTAAGCCAAAGTGGATTTTGTTAGAGATTTCTCATGTCATAATAGAAAATCTAGGCTACTTAAAATCAAGGAAATCAAATGGAATCGCTTCGTTTGGTTTTAAAAAGGAAGGCTAGCTTTAAAAGATCTCTTTGATAGAACCCTCATTAATGCTTTGACAATACTGCTTCTTTACTCTCGAAGTACATGCACAATAGAAATACCAATGGAGTATGAGGTGGTTTCCAGAAATTTTTCTCTTTTCATAGCTTCCACTCAGAATTGTCTACAGAATTTAGATGAGACCCTCTACACTTTCTCTGTTTTAAGATTTAGATCATGGTCTCAGTTCCCTAAGACTTGCGCACTTTATCTCAACACCTATATACCATGGAAAAATGGGAAAATCGGGGCATGACAGCCACAGATGCAGGGCAAAATCTTACCTCTTCTTTCTCTCTCTCTCACATGCAATGGACCTGACCAAAAAGCTGACCAAGGCAGCTGGGTTTCTTTTGCCCTCTTCTCCCCTAGTGGATCCAAGAGCCCATTAGCTTTATCTCACAACACAAATACCATGACACCACTGACCCACTTGACTCTCACCCGCAAGCTTTGCTTCATTTCCAACTGAAAGACTACGATGAGCTAAAGAACCAACCTCCGCAGTAACAGACATTCAACAATTACCAAATGGCTTCAAGGTATGGACAAGAAATAGAAACAGCAGAACTGGCTTTGGGTGCTATTGGGTGCCTTATTGAGGGATAAAGCCGAAACTAAATAAATGACATGGACTTGAAGCTACTCAGGCTGATGCCCACATTGGACTGAGATAAGGGACACCCTTGAGTGGATCCATGAAAATGAAGAGAGAGCAAAAATGCCCATCACTGCAGGGCCAAGTGAAATAATTACATACCCATGCGCCGTCAGGCCCAAACAGCTCTAGGAAGTTGCCAATGAATTCCCTCGACTTCTCTTCCCACTTCTGAATTAGATCATGACTCTTTTCTTCCACTCTGTTGACAAATTCCTTTGACCTTTCCTCCACATTCTTGACCTTTTCCTTCATCTTGTCTACCTGGTTTTGGAAGCGGTACTTCTTTTCCTGGTCAAAAATGAAAAGAGAAAAAAGAGATTTATCCCAGAGGGCATGAGAGAGACCAGTCATTCACACTAATGGTCACTTTATATTCAACTTGTGTTTGTTCTTAACCTGAAGAGTCAGGATATTGCTATTTCCAAGGGCTAGATTGACGGGAAGGCACATCTCTTGTAAGAAAAGTCCATTTGTCATGAGTCTACTTGGATATGTAAAATGAAATACAAGTGATTTTAATATTCTCTTTGTTGTAAACATCAGAGTTGAAGTCACTTATATAAGAACCAAAAATACATATTTACTGTTTATTACAGGTAGCTATTGGACAACCCCCCCCCCCCAATTTTCCAGGGATGTAGACAAAAGTATGAGTTGTCCATAGAATGGTCACTCAGAAGCCACCCGAGTTCTCGGTTTTACTGGGACATTGTTAAAGCCAGTACTGGTTGAAATCGGCCACTGGCTGGGCCTTAAAAGCCATGTGTGACACTGTAATTTTCATTGTAATGATATTTTCCATTAAGCTAACTGAACTGCATCCATTTCCTTGGTGATGAAGACAGATTTTGTCCTGATAGCTTCTCTGGACTGAGATTTTTGTCCTCCTTATAGCCCTTATGCAGCAATGCTGTTCCTGTGTGCCTGAAAGGCCTTGTGTGTTGGGCAAGTCACGGGCCACCTCTAAACCTCAGTTTCTTCCTCTGTAAAATGGGGATAATTATCATCCCTACCCCATCAAGTTGCTGTAACAATTAGGTCAGCTTGTGCACGTGAAGTGCCTGGCACAAAGCCTGGCATTTTAAAAGTGCAGTGTGTGTTGGCTGTTTGATTACGATGAAGCAGCGTAAGCCCTTCTCGTGTTACCTGATGAGAGTGCTATCAAACCACGAAAATTACGTGAGATGGAGGGTCTTCCCCTCCATGAAGTCATGATATATTTTCTCCTCACAGGGCAATAAGGTTTTTTCTTCGCTACACAGGACCGAAGTTCCTATCTCAGAATTTTTTTGAGACACCTGAAATATTGCAAAACTGGGGCATTCAGACCTTCCAAACTGGACTGCAGCCTCAGGGTGGGGTGTGGGCTCCGGGTAACACGCTGCTGTCAGGGCCAGCCCGGGCCAGAGCCACCAGCCGCCCCCTCCACTCTGCCTGAGGGGCCTCGGCCAGGCCCCCTCTGAGCACAGTGTCACTCGTGTCTAAGCGGCGGGACTTGGACTGGGTGACTGGCCACTGGCAAGTTCCTGCCTCCTCTGAGGCCTGTGCTTCATCGACGTGCCCATCCAGCACATTTGACCCTCTCTGTGAGTGGCAGCCAGCCTGTTGGCACAGAAAGGCAGTGAGCATGTCCAGGTTGACTACACGGTTTCTTGAGCTAAGCGGCTTAGCTAAAGGCCGTTAGAGGAGAACGAGCGATAACTTTTGGAAATGGTTTAACATGCTTGGATGGCTGACTGGATTCAATTTAAAAGAACAGACAGTTTAAATTATTGAAATAACCAGGGCTTTATTCTCTATAAGATACCAAATAATCACTTTGATGGAATTCTTTTCAGCCACTTGTTCTGGTGCCACTTGAACCCAACATTTTCTGTTTTGTTGCCCGACTTGTGTGAAGCCACGGAATAACCACTGGTGGACAATTAATAAGCCCCTCATCATCTAGAAGGCACCGAGGATCGGTGTGGTTAAGCTGCTGGATAGTTATAGCGGCACATAATCATAAGCATCTAGTTTTGTAGAAAAATCACTCTTTGAAAACCTACTGGGGGGACTGAAATTCCGTATGGATGAAGGGTTCCTGTTTTAATCAACTTTGTCACCTCCTTGGGGTCCAGGCAAATAAAGTTGTCCAGACGCACTAACATCACCTCTAGCTGGTGGACTAGAGGGGGACTGCCCTCTTAGCTTTGTAACAGCCTGTTTTGCTTGTTTTAAAGATTGTTTTAACAGTTGCTCTATTATTAAACTAACAGCAGGTCTGTGGGAACAATATGGCACAAATGCAGAAGGAAGCCAAAGACTTTAGGCTTTATTTAAGCAGCTGTAATTTCTCTGGACAATAAAAAGAAATGGCTATTAAGGTTTCTAATGAGCATCTGTAAGGCCTTAATAAAATGAAAAAAATTTTAAACTCATTTTCTGTGGGTTTAGCTTTTCATTGCCTCTGCCTGCCTGCCTTCCCTTTGAGCAGACGACGATGCTTGCCTTTCAGGACGGCAGATCTCCCAAACACCCTTCAGTTAAGTCTGCGAACTCTCCAAGACGGAGGTTGGAGCAAGAGGAAGGGAGGCAGCTCCTTTATAAAACGTGGAGCTCACTACCATAGGCTTTGGTTGACTTATGTTAGCCCTTTGGACACTGGTTTCTCCATCTGTAAAATGGGGATAATACATCACCAGGTCGTTATGTGGACTGCGTGGTACTGGAATTTAAATTAAAACAAACAAAAGAACACTGTGAGGCATACAGCAAGCACTCAACAGATGGCGGCAGTGCTGGCGTGTGTGGTGGTCGTCGGAGGACACAGGCGGGGGGAGGGGGGCACACTTACATTTATAAAGCTGACATTTAGCTCCTTGGCTGTGTACCCTCTCTGGAGGTTGCGTCGGGCATAAACATCATAGTCACGGACGATTCTGGTGATGATGTCTGATGTTGAGATGCCTTCCGTTCTCTGAGTTGGAACAAACATTCCTGTTCAAAGCGTAAAGAGGAGATAAAGAGAAAAAAAAAAAAGTGAGATGGTCTCAGCTGCCCCATTTTCCGCAAGAGCTCTCATTTCCAGGACAGAGTGGCGGCTCCCAGGTGTGTGAGTGCGGCTTCTGCATGTGGCGCCAGCTGGCTGCGCTGGGCTCAGCTCCGCGCGCTTCCTGCCTGCCCGCCGCCCTGGCCCTGGGCCCTGGGCGCTCCTGGCATTCGTTCGGGCCACGGCCTTTTCTGCCTCGGATCCCCCTTCCCCGCCCACACCAGCTGCAGCCTTCCCCTCCTCCTGCAGGGCCCAGCTTCAAGGTGTTGTCTCTGGCAAGTCCTTCCCGACATCACCAAGCAGAAGCCACGACCTCGAGGACACAAACGTGTCTTCCATTAACAAACACATTTTATTTTATTTATTTATTTATTTTTAACAAACGCATTTTAAATACCTGTCTCCTTGTCAAAAGGGACCATTTTCAAAGTAGAGATCGTGCCTCGACGGCCAGCCCTCAGCTCAGTGCCTTTTTCTGGCACATGGAAGGGGCTCGATAAATGCAAATTAAATGAATAAGTGACTAGAGAGTCACCAGCGTGGCAGGCAAGTCCTCTGCTTCCCTAAGGAAGTCTGCTTCACATGCGGTTGAGGAAAAGACGCAAAAGGTACTATTTTGTCATCTCCCATTTGAAGACATGCCCTTGGGATGCTAGATGATTTTATCTCCCTCACAAAAGTCTACTCTGGATGGTGGTTTCATCACTCAGGACCCTTTCATCTAGAACACGTGAGACTGAGTAAAAATAAGCACCAAGGATGCCAAGTTCTAATAGACCTTCCTTAACGTCCTCAAAGCTGCATTTGGGTGCACCGATACGGGGCTATAAAGAGGTCACAGGTGTTATCAAGGCAAGAATATGGTTAATACTTAAACTTGTCGTCAACTGAGACGACATGTTGGCAATTGAGGTATTTCTACCCAGTATGATTATGGCCACTCAGAGATATCAGGGGTGGGACGGCATGAGAGAGAGGGCCTAGGGACAAGGGTGCTGGGTTCTCAGTTTGGAAACTTGGGCAAGACTCACATCTCAGAAGTTACTTAACCTCAGTGTCCAAAACTGAGAAATGAGGCGACCGGACAAGATGACCTTGGGCTCATCTGTGCCACTTCCTTCTCCCTCACTCCCCAAGTCCAATCAATCTCCTTCCACTCACTAGTCTACTTCCTAAAAAGCTCCCCAATTCACCCGCTTTTCTCCATCCTCCACCTAAAGCCATCTAACACCATCTAGTTCAAGGGTTATATCAAGAGTCTCCGGCCATGTTGATTTTTGTTCCCTCAACCCTGTCTACACATAGCAGGAGCCACAGAGCAGTCTTTCAAAACAGAAATCAGAGGGCTGCCCAACATCTTTCACTGGCTTTCTACGGTCCTCAGGATTCAGATCCAAATCCGTACCTGGGCTCTGCAGCGGCTTGCTTCACCCCTTCCCTGCACACTCTCCAGTCTCATCGCAGACCTGCTCCCCAACCTCACTGCCTAAGCCAAGGCCCCTGGGCTCCACCACTGTAAGGGGCCCCATTCTCATTGGATTCTCTGGAGCTGGGCAACAAACTGAGCCTGCCTGAGACCCACCACACTGGACTTCAGTGTCCTGAGAGGGCAGGCCCCCTCCCCTCCCTCTGCCACAAACACACTCTCTACCTGGCTAACTCTTGGTCATTCATTGGGTTTCACCTTTAGCGTCACTTCCTCAAAGAGATCTCTCAACCCCTGGGCCGGTTCTTCTGGCTTCTTATTCCCTCCCATGGTCCACTGCTCTTTTCCTTCAACTATTCCAAGGTCTTTATAAAACAGCTTCTTCAGTACCTGCCTTCCCCACTTGACAATAAGCTGCATGAGGGAAGGAACTGCTCCTGCATTATTCTCCTCTAGATTCTCAGCCCCGGGTGGCAAGCGGGCACTGTAAGAGGACTACTGACTCTAAGTGCCTTTCCCAATCCAGTTGTCATCCATTCGTCCTTGATGGGCTTGTCCGGGTGGCGGCCCCCTCTGGGGTGGCGCCCCGAGCGGGCCCCGGTGGCTGCCGCACATGGAGCAGCAGCAGGTTGCCACTGCCCGTGTGGGAGACAAAGCATCTGCTTTCGAATGTTCTGTGGCTCAGAGCTGGCCTTTACCACTAGGTCCGAAACTACGCCTATCACCTTCTGAGAATATGGACTCGAACACAGAAGACCAAAGCGCAGGCAGAGGGTGCGAACATCCCAACACCTGTACCTAGACCGCACCCAACCGGGCCAGCGGGGCAGGGGGCCCCGGTGGGTCGGGGAACGCTGAGTGGTCCCAAGCCGGGGGGCTGAGACAACATCCTCACCTCGGTGGGGGCAGCACGGAGCTTTCTAGTGAGCACTGTGTCCCACCTTTCAGCAGGCAGGTACTTTTCCCACACCCCTGCTGCCTGGTGAAATGTCCAGAAGATCCTCCAGCTACTAGCAGATTTCAGCAAGTCACTTAGGCACTGGTGACATGAGCTCACCCTTTCCGTGAAGCCACAGAGTGAGGTCTCCGTGGCTGAGTGACTGGAAGTTGCGGGCGGGGACAAACTTGCTTTGGCTGGTGGGGAGGTAGGTCTCTGAAAGAAGCCGAGCCCTCTGCTGACATAATGAGGCACCCGGCTTCCTCCAAGTCCTAATTAGTGCTCTGCTAAAAATATTCAGTAATGAGCGCGCTCAGAGAACCTTTTTGTCATGCTTTTCCGAATTGCAGTGTTTGCTTCTGGAGCTATTTTAAGCCACAGCCAAACACATGTTAATGAAGGAGCCTCTCGTGGTAGTAGGCCCTAGTGGCAGGAGGATGAGGACCGTGGGCCTGGCAGTCTACTTCATTTGCGCACCGTCCTTTCGTCCAGCTCTGCTGGACGGTTTGGACATGTACTTCTGACAAGCAAAGCAGAGCATGCTGTGAAGTTTGATTCATGCCCTCGATATCTCTGGCTTCATTTAAAGTGACTTTGACTTTTAAAAGAGACCTGACTTAGAGTGCAAAAGCCCAGTGCGTGTGCTTAGGCCATTTCTGAGCATCTTTCTCTCAGGATGAATGCCCTGGCCTTCTCTGCCGTGGCTGTCCCTTGCTGAGCCATCAGCAGAGCAGATCAAGGGACCTGCGCAGATGAAGAGTCACACGTGGTCTTCCGCCTGTGCTGCCGGGGCAAGGAGAATACCACCGGACTGTTCAATCTGAAGATGCGAGTCGGGGCCGATTGAAGACGGGTACAATCCCCGTCCCCTGGGATGACTTGCTCGCGTAACAAAGAGAATGTCGTATTAGCGACACTGCGGCACTTCCAAGGCTAGGGCGCAAAAAGCCTTGAGGCTTCTGTCAAGATTGTTAACTCTCCAAATGCCCTCTCCCAGGACGCACACCCTTGTAACGCAGCTTCCACCCTTTCAGAACCCCATGCAACACGGAGAGGCCACAGGCAGGCGCTGCAGTGTCGTCTCCCCCGCCCCCCCGCCCCGCCCCCGCAGAGCTCACACTGCAAGCCAGATGCAAGGGCACCATCTGGGACCCCCAGCCCAACTGGGGCTTCAGATGATGGCAGCCCCAGTCAACAGCTGAGTACACCCATTTGAGAGACCCCCTAGCAAGAACCACCCAGCCAAGCCTTTGCTGAAATCCCGCCCTACAAAAACACTAGCAAAATAAAGTGGCTCTTTTAAGCCACTAACTGTGGGAGTAATTTGTTATGCAACAATAGGGTGCTGGATTGCTTTGAGTTAGGAAAATATTGGACCTGTGCCTATACCTTAAAATCGGGAAAGCAACTTTTTCTTAGCTCACTAGAGGCTACTCGCCCAGAAATAAAACCACCACCGAATGCATGTTTTTACTCGACAAGGTAGCTGAGAAACTGTCCCCCCAGGAAACGCTGATTCCATTCACCCTGGGTGAACCAGATACCTGGTCTAGATTCTTGCTACTCTAAGTGAGCTCTGTGGACTTGCAGTACCTACCAACCCAGGAGCTAGAAATGGGGATCTTAGGGGCACCTGCGTGGCTCAGTCGGTTAAGCGTCTGCCTTCGGCTCAGGTCATGGTCCCAGGGTCCTGGGATCAAGTCCCATATCGGGCTCCTTGCTCAGCAGGGAGCCTGCTTCTCCCTCTCCCTCTGCCTCCTGTTCCCCCTGCTTGTGTTCCCTCTCTCACTCACGCTTTCTGTCAAATAAATAAATAAAATATTAAAAAAAAAAAAAAAAGAAATGGGGATCTTAGGTCCCACCAGACCTAATGAACCCAAATCTGCATTTAAAAAGATCCTGCAGTATGTCTCCTAAGACAAGGAAAACAAAAGCAAAAATAAACTATTGGGACTACATCAAAATAAAAAGCTTCTGACCATGAAGGAAACAACCAACAAAACAAAAAGACAGACAACCTACTGAATGCGAGCAGATATATGCAAATGACATATCCCATAAGGGGTTAGTATCCAAAATACATAAAGCACTTATACAACTCAACACCAAAAAACAATCCAATTAAAAATGGGCAGAAGACATGAAGATGACATACAGATGACCGAAAGACACATGAAAAGATGTTCAATATCACTTGTCATGAGGGAAATGCAAATCAAAACTACACTGAGATATCAGCTCACCCGGTCAGAATGGATACAATCGAAGACAGAAAAAACAGCAGGTGTTGAGGTGAGGATGTGAAGAAAAAGGAACCCTCGTATACTCTTAGTATGAAAGCAAACTGGTTCAGCCACTGTGGAAAAGACTATGGAGGTTCCTCAAAATATTAAAAATAGAATTGCCAGAGGATCCAGTAAGAGTATTACTGGGTGTTTACCCAAAGAATACAAAAAATTAAGAAAGATATATGCACCCCGATGTTTATTGCAGCATTGTTTACAATAGCCAAGATATAGAAGCAGCCCAAGTGTCCACTGATAGATGAACGGATGAAGATGTGGTATATATGTAAAATGGAATAT